ATCCACCTGGACTCCTTCAACCAGAGTGCGACCATGAACGGTTGCACCGATGAAGAAAAGTGCCTACTTTTCTTCCAGACCTTGCGGAACCGAGCCACTGAATGGTTCAATAAGCTTCGCCCGGGAAGCATTGACTCGTTCAGTGATTTGGCCTCAAAATTCAAGGCCAAGTTCCAGGAGAATTGTACTAAGAGGAAGAAGTTCACCTATCTTAGTACAGCCGGGCAGAGGGAGTCTGAGAACCTCACTCAGTTCCTTACCCGGTGGAAGGAAGAGGTAGACAAGGTGGAAGAGATGGATGACAAGACCGTCCTCTCCCTCCTCTTGAATGGCTTGCGTGCTGGGGAACTATACAAGGAGTTCTGCCGGAAACCCCCAGCCACATACCAAGAGGCCTACCATACTGCATGGGAGTTTGCTGAAGCTGAAACCCAGCTCCGGGCAAAGAGAGAAGCTGAGCATGGTCACAAGCCCAAGCCGGTGCAAGTCAAGAAGGAAGAAGCACCGGGACCTAGCCGGCCGAGGCACCACTATGACCCGGTCATCCGAGTGGTCAATACAGAAGAATGCCAAGAAGTCCGGAAAGCACCGGTCATTCCTCTAGAAAACCCTACCGGTCAAGTAGGGCGGCAGTGGTCGGGCACCTATTGTTCGTACCACAGGTCTGATTCCCATAACACCTCCGAATGCAAGAGTGTTAAAGGGGTCATCCGGCGGATGATCGACAGTGGAGAGCTGGGCAAAGATTACTTGCAGAAAGCCCAGGAGAAGAGTCATCAGTGGGTTAGGCCAACTGCCCCAGGGAATGACCGGGACAATGACCGGCGGAGAAATAACCGGCCAAGGGAGCGGCAACCTGCCCCCGAAAAAAAACACATCGGCATGATCTTCGGCGGACCCGAGGGTGGAGATTCAACCGCGCAGCGGAAGAACTGGGTCCGGAGCATTTACGTTGGAGAGGTAAGTGCTGAACCGCCCAGGCGTAAACATACTAGGAGGGAGCCAATCGTCTTTACTGACCGGGATCTCCCTCCTACCGGTGAAGATCACAATGATCCATTGGTCATCACCATGGACATTAATGGGATAGATGTCGCCCGGGTACTTGTTGACACCGGCAGCAGTGTCAACATCTTATACCTGGAGACCTTCTAAAAACTCAGGTTGTGTCGAACACAACTTGATCCCCTCAAAACCCCTCTCTCAGGCTTCACGGGGGATACCGTTGAAGCTGAAGGATCCATAGTTCTACCGGTCGAACTAGGATCAGGTGAAAAGACCGTGTGGAAGAAGATGCGGTTCATAGTTGTGGACATCAAATGCGTCCACAACGCAATTCTAGGAAGGCCAGGCATCAATAAAGTCGGAGCGGTGATTTCCATGCCTCATCTATGCATGAAGTTCCACACTCCAGGTGGTGTGGGTGAGGTGAAGGGCGACCAGAGGAACACCCGGGAATGCTATGCCCGGGCAGTCAAGAAAATGACCAGGGGGGTCAATGTCATCTCCCAAGAGATCACAAAGGGAGAGACCCGGGAGAAACTGGAACCCGAGGCTGAGACGGTGGAAATCGAACTTCACCCGGGTGATTCTTCGAGGATGGTCAGAATTGGAGCAAATCTCCCCGAGGATCTCAAGGAGCAGATTACACGGGTCCTCCAAGAATACGCGGGCATATTCGCATGGAGCGTGGCGGATATGCCCGGGATAGATCGCTCTGTTATCTGCCACCGGTTGGCCGTGAGGGAGGGAAGTCGACCGGTACGCCAAAAGAAGCGGTACCTGGCCAGTGACCGGCGAGACTTCGTCAAGAAGGAAGTGAAAGACCTCCTCAGTGTTGGTCACATCCGGGAAGTCAAGTACCCGGATTGGCTGGCCAACGTTGTCCTTGCTCCCAAGGGCGACACGTGGAGAATGTGTGTGGATTATACGGACTTGAACAAGGCTTGTCCGATGGATTCATACCCCCTCCCCAGTCCAGATCAAATGGTGGACGAAACTGCGGGGTGCGAACTCCTAAGTTTCATGGATGCCTTCAAGGGTTACCACCAAATCTACATGGCCAAGGAAGATGAAGAGAAGACATCATTCCTCACACCCGAAGGAACCTACTGCTACCGGGTAATGGCGTTTGGCTT